CCTCCGCTGTGCACCGGCAGTGGGAGCTCAGAGGCTTTTCCTGCGAGGGGAGAACTGAGCTGGCAGCAGCCGGAGCCACCAGCGTCCCTGCGGGTGGCTCCTGGGCCTTCCTGGGCACCCGATACCACAACTGATGGTCACCCCCTGCTACTCCTCACCGAGGGTGTCTGTGTGGGTCCCACTCTGCCTTCACCTCCCAGCCCCAAGCCCGGCACCCCCAGAGCAGGTGGGGGGCAGCCAGCTGGGCCAAGCAAGCAGGAGGGAAGTTTCCTGCCCGCCTTCCTCCCCTGCCCCGGTGGCTTGGCGATGCTCCGGGCATGGCAAAGGCGAGCCGAGGGCAGGACCTGGCTCCCAAGGACGTGGCCCATGGCCAAAGCCCCGTGGCTGCAGGACTGGAGCTCATGTGTGGGGCTCTGGGGCTGGTGTCGTTACCGGGACCGTGGCCGGGTGTCTGTGCTGCCTAGCACCGGCACTGCTTCACTGCCCACCGATCCCACCGGCTGTGAGCAAACGGACCCTGTCCCCCCCGTGGGGCACAGGCAGCCCCTCACCGTGGGACCCCTGCCCTGTTTTCCTTCACCATTTGTCTGCCTTTGCAGAGCCTGTAAATCACACTGTGGGGGGCAGAGGGCTGTGCTGGGGGCTGGAGGTCCTGCTGGGGCTGGGGGCATCCGCATGGCCATGGGGACGTGTGCCTTGCCAGCTGCATCTCCTGCTGCTCCTCACCTCACCTTAACCCTGGCAATAGCCCCTGCCTGGGGCTGTTCCTACCCCTGCAGAGGGGCAGAGCAGGGCACGGACAAGCCCCTGGATGCAGGCAGGGAGCCCGCAGGTGCCGGTGCAGAGAGAGGACCCCCAGCTCCTGCCCTGTTCTCGCCCCAGCTTCCTGCTGGGCCGGGGCTGGGGGGGCCGCAGCAGCCCCCAGCCCTGACAGGCAGCAAGACGGATGGCAGGGGCTGTGTACTCAGCTGCACTGCCCCACACATGGCCACCAGCTGACGGGGACAGGCTGGGGGGAGCCCTGGGGCTCTTGGGGGGGGGGGTACGGCCATGTGTGGGGCGCTGGTGGCCTGTGCTGCTGCTATGGAGGACGGGACACGTGGGGACACAGCAGCAGTGTGTGTGGGGGCACCGCATGCATGTGCACATATGAGTGCATGCGAGCATGTGCGTGGATGCTCACGTATCCACATGTCCACTCATGTATGGGCATGTGTGTATAGATGCGTATAGCCATGCATGTGTGCGCACGGGTGTATGTGAGTATGGAGGGGTGCATGCGAGGCTGCAGCATCGCAAACCTGAGCGGGTGCCAGGATGCGCCTGTGTTCGGCTTCCCGGCTCTCCCAGTGGATCCAGCCACACAAAACCGGTCACTGGACCAAGGCCTTCAGCTCCAGCGCCACAATTCACAGCCCTGGGCATGGAGCACGCAGCACCATGGGTTGGGCATGGATGGAAGGCAGGGGGTGGATGGGACCCTGCATAGGATGTGTGGCATGGAGGGGGCATGGCCTCAGCACCCAACCCACCAGGCGCCTCCAGGCTGAGGGTGGCCAATGGAGGGGCACCCTTAGGGCTGGGTTCGGGTGCTGGGTACCCGGGGGCCAAGTCCTGGCTCTGCTGGCAGGGAAGTGCCCCCTGCCCCCCGCACTGGGGAGTGTTTATGAGCGAGGTGATGCTTAAGTGTAAGAAAACAAAGAGGGAGCAGATGGGCCGGGGCCGGGGCTGCCCCCAGCCCCCGGGGGCTGCTCGGGCCCTGCTGGGAAAACACCGCTGCCGGCGAGGCAAATGGATTCCAGACCCGTGGCAGCGCCGGCACATGTGGCCTGCAGGACGCTGGGTCTGACCCTGCTGAGCCCAGGGGAAGCAGGGCTGGGCTGACCTGACCCATCCCATCATATCCCACCCAATCCATCCCATCATATCCCATCCTATCATATCCCATACAATCCATCCCATCATATCCCATCCTATCATATCCCATACAATCCGTCCCATCCCATCATATCCCATCCTATCATGCCCCATCCAATCCATCCCATCATATCCCATCCCATCCCATCCCATCCAATCCATCCCATCCCATCATATCCCATCCTATCATATCCCATCCAATCCATCCCATCATATCCCATCCTATCATATCCCATCCAATCCATCCCATCCCATCATATCCCATCATATCATATCCCATCCAATCCATCCCACCCCATCATATCCCATCCCATCATATCCCATCCTATCATATCCCATCCAATCCATCCCATCATATCCCATCCTACCATATCCCATACAATCCGTCCCATCCCATCATATCCCATCCCATCATATCCCATCCAATCCATCCCATCCCATCATATTCCATCCTATCATATCCCATCCAATCCAATCCGTCCCATCCCACCTGATCTGATCCCATCCCACCTCATCCAATCCATTCGACCCCATCTAATCCCATCCCATCTCTTCCCAGCCCATCCCACCAAGACCCCTGAAGGTGCTGCCTGTCCCCACTCACCCTCACCCCACAACCATCCCCAGCTCATGGGAATGGCCGGGTCTGGCCCCTTCTTGCCGACACAGGGAGACCAGGACCAGCAAATCTGGGAGCCCCCGGAGCTCCCCTGTATGGGGAGGAAGCAGCAAAAGGGGTTCAATGGAACCAGGAGGGGTGAAGCCCTTCGGGGAGCCCTGGATGCGGTCCCTGCCTGACCCCCCTGGGGTGTCCCCGGGGCAGTGTGGGGCGCCCCAGGCCCCTCCCCGCAGGGGGCTGTACCTGCGGGCCGGGCTGTGGGTCTGGAAGGCATTACATGCCTGTCGCGGGGGGAAGTCTGCCCCAGTTCCGGAGGCAGGACCCCCCCCCCCCAGGCAGCGCGGGGCCGGGGGGAGCCCACAAAGCGCCTTTGTTCCTGCTCTGGAACGAATGGATTGGAGGCAGCCGGGATCGGCTGTCAGCGGCGACACCGGAGAGCCCCGGGTCAGGCAGAGGGAAGGGGGACAGGTGGAGGGATGGACAGACGGGCGCAGGAAGCCGATGCGGGGTCGCCGGCGCTGGTGAGACCCAGTCCTGTGCCAGGGTTGTGGCACCGGCAGCACCACATGGGGACCAGCTCGTACTGCCTGCCCTCTGCCAGCCCCGGGATGTGACCGCCAGCCCTGGGGATGCTCACACAGCCCCAGGGACACAGTGACCGGTCCTGGGTCCAACCGGTGCCACCAAGCCCTGGAGCGGTGTCACAGGGCACCGTGGGGCTGGCACGGATAATCCTGGCACTGGTTAAAGGGGATGGGAAGCTGGAAGAGTGGATCCTGCAGAGGGTATCCCAGCCCTATGGGGTGCAAGGAGGGAGGTGCGGGATCTGGTTCATGCCCTCTCATGGGCTCCCAGCCCTGCTGAGCTGCCTCCCACCCAGCTCCCTTTGTGTGGGGCACAAACCCAGGCAGATGGGGATGAGCAGAGCCCATGGGAGATGCCCAGCACTGGGGGCAAATCCCAGTGGCTGCCACGGGGCACCCAGCCGTGGGCACCCTGGTGCCGCGCCGCGCTGCCGCAGGAGCTGCCACCTCCTCCCTTTCCCCCATCTCTGTAAGAGGAGGAAACTTTTTAGCACGCCACAATTCTTCGGAGAAATTTACGGCCCATCCGGGAGCCGCGGACGGGGCTGCTCGCTCCATGAGCGCTTCCAGGGCTTCCTCCCTCCGGAGACTGCTTGGATGCCGCACACGGAACAGAGCCTCCATCCAGCCTCTTCCCTTGGCTCTGCTAGGGAAGGGGCTGGGGGGATGCTCTAGCACAGCAGCACCCAGCTCACCCTGTGCTGTCAGCAATGGGCAGCAGGGCCAGCTCCTGCCATCCAGAGCTGCTGCCTGCGTGGCTGTGCCCTCCTCCCAGCTCCTCTTCCCAGCCCATTCCTGCCGAGACAGGGCAGGATCCATCCAGGAAGGAGCGTGGCCGAGGGAGCAGAGCGAGGGCAGAATGACCGGCTGTGGTTCCTGTCCCAGTCCTGCTGATTCACAGTGTGGGGGGTGAGTCAGTGGCCTTTCCCCTCCCTGGACCGGGGTTCCTGGCTCAAAGGGATGCCGAGATGCCCAGGGGATGCTCAGGGCGGGTTTTCCAGCCTGCACATGGGGTGAAGACGTGGCCGTTTGCAGAAGTGACAGCATCCCAGCGTGGTGAGACCACATGTGCTCCCACGTGAGAGCTGACCCTGGCCCTGCTGGGCACCCTCACCATGTCTGGCACAGCATCCATCCCGAATACAGCATCTGTCCCCTTGCAGAGCATCCAGTCCCAAGGAAAGCATCTGTCCCTTTGCAGAGCACATTCCCCCAACACCAGCCCCCAGACTTGTGGGGTTTGATTGCCTTTATTCCGGGTGCAGCAGGGGTGTCCCCACGGGATGTGTCCAGGGAGGGGGACAGGAAGGTTTTGGGGTAGGCACAGCCCAGGCACAGGGTGAGCCCAGAGTCAGTGGAGACTGGCCATTCGGTTCATCTGTGCCTCTGCCCCGTACGGCTGCGTCCTGCTCTGGCTGTGTCTCGGTTTGCCCTTGTCCCTTCCTGGTTCCGTGGTGCCCTGGATGGGCTGTGACCTGGCTCAGTTCCAGTGTGCCCCGGTTCAACTCGTTCCGGTTCAGCCATTCCTGGCTGAGTTGTGCCCTGGTTCACTGCATCCCGTCCTGGTTGAGCCCATCCCCATTGAGCTATGACCCGGTTTAGCCTGTCCTATCCTGTCCTGGTTCAGACCGTCTCGGATCATCTCAACACAACCCATCCCAGTTCATCCCATCCCCGTTCAGCCTGTCCTGTCCCATTTCATCCTAGTTCATCCCACCCCATTCCAGTTCATCCTGTCTCATCCCATCCCAGTTCATCCCTCTCAATCTTGGTCCATTCTGTCCCATCCCATCCCTGTTCAACCTGGTCCATCTCGTTCCGTCCTGGTTCATCCCATACCGTCCTGGTCCACCCTTTTTCTCATCCCGGTTCATCTGTTCATCTTGTCCCTGTCCATCCCATCCCATCCCGTCTATCCCGGTCCATCCCTTCCCGGTCCCGGAGGCCAATACCGGCCCCGCGCGTCACAACAGCGCCACCTGCTGTCGCCGCCGCGCTCCTCCGCCGCTCCGGTGCCCCGGGCTAGCGCAGGAGCGGCGTGGAAGAGCCCAGGTACGTGCGGAGGTCGCTGAGCGTGGACGGGATGATCTTGGCGGGGATGGTCTCCCGGTTGAGCGCCTGGTGGGCGGCGAAGCGGTGGCAGCCCCCGAAGGAGTAGAAGTAATCCCCGCCCTGGGTGCCCTTGATCCAGAGCACGTCGATGGGGGGCACCCGCTCGGGGTCCTCCTGCCAAGGACAAGACCCCCCGGCGATGACACCGCCACAGCCTGTGCCGGGGATCCCCATCACAGTGGAGGGGTCCCGGGGGAGCGGGGCCGCTCACCTGCAAGGTCTCCATCATGCTCCGCACCTTGTCCGGCTCCAGCTGCGCAGGGATGGGCCGGATGAGGACGCGCATGGGCACGTTGTGCACGGCCGAGATGTGCTGCGTGTGGATGCTCTGGTCCCCGGGCTCTGCCATGGCTGCTGCTGCCCGGAGCTGGCTTCGTCCTTCCTGCTGCGGGCCCGGCCGAGCGCACTTCTCCACCCGGAGCAGGGCAGCGCCCAGCCGGGCCCCTTTACTTCCTCCCGGCCCGGCCATCACCACCGTCATCGCCACCGCGCCCGCCCCGAGGTTTTGCAGAGTCACAGTGAAGGGGCAGGACCGGCTGCGGGCCCGGTGCCAGCGCGGCCTGGCCCGGTGCCCGTTGCTCTCCGCCCCGGCGAGGCTGCGGGTAGGGATGAGCCCCTCTCCGGGGCTGCTCCATGTGCTGAGGGTCTCTGCTGCTCCTTGGGGGCTGCCTGAGGGTCTCTGCTCCTGCCTGGCCAAGTGGGGCACTAAGGCTAAGCCTGCGGCACCTCACAGGAGCTAGGATGTGCCCCCACCCACCCCTGCTGCACTGATGCCCATGGGGTCCTCGGTGAGGAAGAGGAGGCACGAGGCAGCCCCAGAGCTGAGCAGTGCAGCGCAGATGCTCTGCAGCCAGGCGCACACCGCAGCATTCCGGCTCTGAATCTTTCTAGGTCATTTCTCCAGCCCAGTGTTCCAAATGGTGCAGAGGCTCCTGGGAAGAATTGGATCTCATATCCTGATATCCCACTGGTGGCTGCAACCACGGCAGCCTGGATCCATGACGCTGATGGTTGGCTGCTCCCGGTCCCCTCACCCTGGCTCCCAGGGGGCACGGAAGGTCCCCAGCCCCAGCACTGACTCAGAAACACACTGGTGTGACCGGGCACTGCCCGTGTGAGGAGCAGTGATGAGGATGGTCAGGGACCGGTTTATGGAGCTGCAGGATGAGATTTTGTCAGGATGAATCCCGTGGTGACTTCACAGGTGAATCACTGTGCCTGAGGGGCAGCACCGATGTCACCGGGAGCACAGGGCTCAGCGAGGGCTTTGCTGATGTCCTGGAGGCCCAAAAAAACTCACCTTTTCCCTTTGGCACCCATCCGTGGGGAGGGAAGGCAGCGAGTGGGGGCCAGGAGCTCCTGCCTGCCCTGGAGCTGCTCCCACTGCCCCATCTGTGCCTCTGTGTGGGCAGGAGGGGATGCAAACACCAAATCCTCCCTATCCATCACAGCTGAATCCCATCACTGCCCCCCCCCCCCCCCCCCCCCGAGGCTGCCCGCCGGGCTCTGAGCCCCGCTGCCAGGGTTTCACACGGCGCTTTACTTCCAGGTCACTGCTCTGCCGCATTCCCGGGCAGGGCGATGTTCCCAGCGCACCGCTCACCGCAGCAGGGGATCTCTGGCTCCTGCTGGTGCTGGCAAAGCAAGGCGGGCAGTCCTGGGTGCTCCGGGTGCCAGAACACATCCAGCCCTTGGCTTGGGGCGGGTGATACCCTTGGGACTGACTCCACGGGATGGGGATCCACCACCCGCTCTCCCCTCCCCGGTATAAATGCCCGAGACACGCGGTTAGTGGCAGAAATCCCTTTTATATCCCTGAATTGCGTTACAAGTAATACTGCGGGCGGCCGGTTCTCAGTGGATTCCTCCTACTGGGGGCTGGCGAGTACAAAACCTGGCAGAAAAAATCTATCATCATGCACGGAAAATTATTGCTGTAGTGTCTGCTATTTACAGGAGAGACGGGGGCAGAGGAGCGGGGCCGCGCCGGCACCGCGGGGGGAAGCCTTGCGCTGCTGCTGTGCGCTGCGGCTGCCTGCGCGGAGTGCGGGGGGCACGGCAGCGAGGACCGTGACAGGGACATCCCCGGGGAGGCGCGGAGCCTGCGAGCAACGGGAGCACCGAGGCGGCGGGAGGAAGACGTTGCAGGGAGGAAGACGGCACAGGAAGACTGCGTGTGTGGGGACCGCGAGCCCCGCGGGGTGCCGGGCTTGGAACCCGAAGGTACCGGACACCGGCACGGGGTGATGGGGACCGTGGCTGCTCGCGACCCGAGGTAGGAAGCGGAGGCGCGGGTCGGGCCCCGCTCCGGGATGCCGCACGCACGGCGCTTGCTCCAGGGATGCTCCGCTGGGACGTTGCATAGAATGGGGCTGGTTTGTCCCCGCTGCTGGCGCGGGGCAGGGAGCAGCGAGGCAGCCAAAGGGAGAAGGGCTTTGCCTCTGGAGGAGGCTTGCAGGGCGCGGAGCCCCGGGTTCCCAGCTCATGCCCTCCTGCCTCTGTGCCTGCTGCGTGATCCGCTCTCGGGGTGCCGTCCCCATCCGTGTCACCGTGGCTGTGTCCTGGGGACGGCGGCTCTGCTGCAACTCTGCCGCCTCCAGCGCTGGCACGGCCCTGCCAGTCTTGGCAAATAAATAGTGAAAAGCATAAGTTATAAATAATATAAATAAGAATAATATAAATAGACTCACCCAAACTTGACGGCTACACTGACCCCTCCTCCAGAGCGCAGGCAGGGGGCGATGGGTTAGGGGGGCTGGCAAGGGGTCTGGGCAGAGGCTGTGGGGACATGGGGAGCGGTTGGGGGTTTGGGTGCTGCCCCAGGGCTGGCTGTTCAGCCCAGTTGCCAGCCTGGCTGTTTGCACAGCAAGGGGGCTGCACTGGCCCGGGGGGCTGTTCCTCAGCCCATCACCATGGCAGAGCCCACTTGTGCCTGCCCAAGCTGGGAGCCAGCAAGGGATGTGTCCCCTGGGGCTCTGCTGGGGGCCCCATGTTCTTCCTAGGGCTATGGACCCACAGTGCCAAGGTGAGCACCACAGGGCCATGTCCCATGGGATCGTGCTGGCCAGGGGCATCAGGGTGCCCCAGGGCCCGTGCAGTGGGCTGCAGGGACCCCAGACTCCAGGGGTGACCGACAGCCCAGCCGCACCATCCATCAGTCCCGCTGAGCCATCGGTAGCGCCAGCCCACGGTCCCATCAGTGTCAGGGGTCAAGGTGAGCTTTTGCTCCTGGGGGCAGGAGCAGAAAAGTGTCTTTTCTCCCCCGGGATCCCCCGGGGAGGAGAAGCAGCAGCTCTAAATAAATAATGGTAATAAATTAAATAAATAGAGGTGAAAGCCAGGAGCTGGGGGAGGAAAAGTCTCTCCTGGGTCTGGAAGAGGTCCTGAGGTCCCCGCAGAGAGACCTGCCTGGCTGCGGGGGGGCTCAGGGACCTGCGGGCGAGGAGCCGGGTCCTGCTGTGGTCCCGGCTGGATCCAGCCCTTCCCAGGAGCGCTGGGACACCCTCCTCCCGCGGGGGGAGTGAGTCTGTGGGGACGCGTCCTCCGGCCACGGCACAGCCACAACTGGGCTGGCCGCAGCTGCAGGAGTGCTGGCGCGGGGACCAGGATTGGGATGGGGACAGGGATGGCAATAGGGATGGGGATGAGGGCTGGGATGGGGATGTGGATAGGGATGGGGATGGGGATGGGATTGGGGATGGGGATGGGAATGGGGATGGGATAGAGATGCAAATGGGGATGGGGACGGGGATAGGGATAGGGATGTGGATGTGCCACAGGGGGCTGTGGGGCTAGTTCCCTATTGCACAGCTGTGTTCGGAGCCCTTGAAGCAGGCGGACTCGTAGTGCTTGTTGAGGTACGACTTGAGAGCGAAGGTCTTCTCGCACTGCTTGCACTTGTAGTGCTTGAAGGCCGAGTGGGTCTGCATGTGGGCGCGCAGGTTGGAGCGGTCGGCGAAGGCTTTCCCGCAGTGGGAGCAGCCGAAGGGCTTCTCCCCGGTGTGCGAGCGCATGTGGCCCTGCAGCAGCCAGGGCCGGCTGAAGGCTTTGCCGCACACGTCGCACTTGTGCTTGAGGTTGTGGGTGAGGACGTGCATGGCCAGGGCGGGCATGGACACGTAAGCCTTGCCGCAGGTCGGGCATTTCCTCGCCATCTTGCTGTCCAGGCTGCGGTGGGTTTGCTTGTGCCGGCTCAGGTTGGAGGAGGTGGCGTAGGTCTTGCCGCACTCGGGGCAGGAGTGGCGGTGGCTGCCGCGGCGCTGGCTCTCGCTGCGCCGGCGCGACCGCCCGTCCGTGATGAAGAAGGCATCCATGGAGTAGCTGTCCGTCACCGCCGCCTCCCCGTTGAAGTAGCGGGCGGAGAAGCTGGACTGGGGGCTCTCGGGGTCGCTGTACTCCTCGTGGCCCGGTGCATAGGCCGGGTCCGGTGGTGGCGGTGGCAGCCCTTGCTTCTTGTCGGTGTCATAGCCAGCTGGTGCCAGGCAGTGCTGGAGGTACCCTGCAGGGGCGACACAGCGGGGTCACCGTCACTCCGGGCCAGCCCCACCGGGGATGGTGGAAAAGCCACAGCCAAAAGTGCCCGTTGGGGGATGCGGAACCAGGGCTGTGCCCCCCCCGCACCGGTCCCTGACCCCGCTCAGCCCCAGGGGCTGTCCTTGAGCACCGGAGCTGCCTCACGCACCCAGGGGCTGACTTTGCCCCACATCTGGAGCAGGATGGGTCCCTCCCGCGGGGCTGCCTGGGATGGGAGCGGGATGGGGCTGCGGGAGGTTCAGCTGCTGCTGCCCGGGTGCCGCAGCAGCCCCCGGGGGCCGCCCGCCGCCGCACAGCTGTCGGTGCAGAGCCTCATTGTTCACCGTAATGAGCTCTGCTCCGTCCAGCGCCGGCACCGGGTGAGCGGGAAAAGCCCACCCTGGGTTTCCCTTCTGCAGCAAAGGGCATGGGAAAGGCCCCCAACCTCCCAATGACCCCCACTGGGGCTGAGCCGAGGCAGCTCCTGGAGGGCAGCAGCACCAGGGCCATGGGTTCGCACCAAGGAGAGGGACCCGCAGCTCCCCAGGCACAGAACAGGGCTCGGGTGCTGCTCCAGCACTGCCACCCCTGTGTGACATTGGTGCAGGTCTGCTCATGGCCTGACTCCTGACCCTGGCAGAGCTGGGACCGCATGGGCATCCCCATCCCTCCGTGCTGGCACATGAAGGTCACTGCAGGAGGAGCAGTGCAGTCCTCTCCCTGCAGGGCCAGTGTTCCTGTGGGACATGCAGCCACCCCTGGTTCCTCAAACTGGTCCCAGCGGTCTCCTGCCTTGTGTGACCGGCCCTTGTCCTGCTTCAGAGGACACGTCCTCACCGTTGGTGGCAGTGGGGGCTGTCAGGGGGCTGGTGTCAATGCATGGCCAGGCTCACCAGTGCATGACACCCACCCCAGCTGCAGCCGAGCATCCCTAAACCTAGGTCCTGCCCATGGGATCTCCCACCCATGGGACCCCCAGCCCAGGGCGAGTGGCTGCTGTTGGGTGTTCCACAAGGTCTGGGGGTGCCTGTGGTGGGGAGGGGGCTGCGTGGCAGGGGCAGAGCTCGGCCCCACTGTGCTGACAGCGCGGGCTGTGCAGAAAGCGCTCTGCTCAGCAATTTCTCACACTGCCTCCGAGCATGCAGCAAGGTTATTTCCAGGAGAGCAGCGTCGGCAGCTTCTGCCCAGCTGCAGCACATCCCTCCCCCACCGGCCTCTGCTTCCCAATGCGGGAGGGGGGAAGCTGGGGACCCCCAGGCCCTCACACGCTGCCCACAGCACAGAAAGCCCACCGAGGGCTGGGGAGCAGCCAAAGCTGGGGGGACAACGCAGCACTGGGATGATGCTGGCTTGTGCGTGGCTGGATCAGGCCCATTCCTGCATCCAGCTCAGCATCCCGGTACCCGAGCAGCCAGGACCCGACAGCCCCCGCTCCGGGGCAGGACCTCCCCCCTCGGTCCCCTCTCCCAGGGCAGGTCCCTGGGCCGCCCCGTCTGGGGTCTCTGCACCCCAGTGACCCCCAAAACTCCCCCCTGTGTTCCCCAGCGGGACGCGGCCCCAGAGAACCCAGACCCCCCCCCAACCCAGCCCCTGCACCTCTCCCAGCATTGCGGGGAGGGGGGGGCTGCCCCTCGCCTCTCCCCCGCCTGCTCTCGGTACCCCGGGGAGGAGGCGGCCCCCCCGCGCTCCCGGGGGGGCTCGGGGCACCGCGGCGAACAATGAAACCTGCGGGCTCGGAGCCGCTCCGCTGCCCCCCGCGCCCCGGCAGCTTCGGACGCCCCCAAAACTTGTTATAGGAAGGGGCCGGCCTCGCTGCACCCCGGTTTGAGGGGCGCGGGTCCGGCCGGGGCGGGGGGATACCCGCGGGGATGCCGCTGTCAGACCGGGGATGCTTCCCTAAGGACCAACTTCGGCAGAGGCCGCTGGCCCCAGAGCCCCGAGGGGGGAGAGAGGTGCGGAGGGATGACCCCGACCCCCCCCCCCCCCCAACCCTCTGCACCCCCGCTCGACGGAGACCCCCGCCCCGTCCTGCCCCGCTCCCTCTGCACCCGGTGCCCCGGCGGTCGCTCACACAATAGCGGCTGCGGGGCCCCCCCGGAACCCCCGTCCCCGCACTCACCATCACCGGCGGCGGGGCCGGGCAGCGCGTAGGGGGGCTCCAGGGGGGTGTAGGGGGGCGCGGGGGCCCCGGCGGCCGGGAATGCCTCCGCCTTGAGCTTCTTCACCAGGAAGGAGCGGGGCATGGCGGGGCCGGGCCGGCGCCCTCAGCACTGGACAGCTCCGGTACCGGCACCGCCACCGGTCCCGGCACCGGCACCGGCCCCCGCCCCGCCCGGCCCGGCCCCGCGCTGCGGACGGCGAGGAGCGGGGAGCGACTGCGAGGGGCGGGGAGGCAGGCAGAGAGCAGGGCGGCAGGAGGAGGAGGAGGAGGGATGATGAGGAGGAGGGGACGAGGAGGAGGATAAGGGGGAGGAAGGCAGGCGGCGGGGGGGGGGGGGGGGGGGGAAGGGGCCGCTCCGCCCGGCCGCGCCTGGACCCCCCCCCCGGAGCCCCCTGAGCCGCCGGCAGCGCGGGGAGCCCCGGGCAGCGCTGCGGTGCGGGGTCCCCGGTCCCTCCCCCCGGTTCCCTCCTCCCCCTTCCCCTTCCCCGGACAATGGGGACACGCGGGGACGGGGGCTGGGACACGCTCCGCTGCCTCCCACCGCCTTTGTCTCCTGCCGCCAGCCCCCAGGGCTGTGAAGGACGGGGCTGCGGGGCGGGGGTCCCGGCCTTGGCCCTGCTCCCGTCCCCATCCCCGGCCCTGGCCCTTGTCTCCACCTCTGGCCCCTGTCCTTGTTTCTTGCCCCTTTCCCCTGTCCTTGCTCTCTGTTCCTATCCCTGATCTCTGTCCCCATTCCCATCTGTCTCGTCCCTTCCCGTGTCCCTTGTTCTCTGGCTCCATCCCCATTCCCTCTTCCCTGCCCTGTCCCCTCTGCCCTGTCCCCATTCCTGCCCATTACACCTTTCCCCTTCCCCATCCCTCTTCCCTGTCCCTTTTCCCGCCTCCTCGCCCTCTCCCGTGTCCCTGTCCCCATCCCTGTCCCCATCCCAAGCCTGTGACCTTCGCAGCCCACAACAATAGCTGGGCTCGGTGCATTGTTCCCTGCCGGAGCCTCCTCTCCCCCCCCCCTTCGCTGCTGGAGCAGGATGAGGCCCCGGTCCCGCAGGCACGGGTGGCCTGGGGCTGGTGTCCCTGTGCTGCTGGGGCTGGAGGGTGACACTGAGACCTGGCTGGCCACGGGCCCTGCTCTGCCTGAGCCCGGTGCTGTACCGAGCGGTGCGGTGCTGAGCTATGGCCAGTCCTCATCCGTCACTGCAGGCAGGGCGCTGGCACAGCCGTCACAGTGCAGCCCTGGGCACCCCCGGCTGCGGGAGCCAAGTGGCACCAGGATTGGGGGTCACAGGCAGCCCCCCCCGTGACAGGTACCCAGGCTCTGGCTGCTCACAGCCATGACTGGGAGCCAGGACTGGGGCCATCCTTTGAGCTCATCGGGCTCATGGCTTTGTGTGGTACCCCATAATCCAGGGCATCCCACAACATCCCACGGTATCCTACAGCATCCCACATCACCCCACAGCCCAGGGCATCCCATAATCCACAGTATCCAATAGCCCTGAGTACCTTAGAGCTCACAGCACCCCCCATCCCACAGGGGACCACATCCTTCAGCATCCTCGAGCCTACAGCCCCACATGTCCCACAGCATCCCACCTCACCCCAGACCCCAATGCATCCCTCAGCATTCCGCACCTCCAGGCCATTGCTGGGGTGGGGGGGCCCGGGGTGCTCCCCACACATACTGGGCTCTCACCCCCCATCCCACGAGGCCTCGCAGGCAGCGTCACGGGTCCCATCCATCCCTGCAGCATCCCTGACATCAGGGCTCTGCCAAGTTCAAGGTCACCTCTCCCACAGGACCATGGCCCCTGGGGGGGAAGCTGCCTCCTGCAGGGGCTGCTCCGGTGATCCCCCCCCCCTCACACACCGGGCTCCCGGCCTCCGCTCCGTGATTCATTATCCAGGCGTGTGCCGGGGCTCTCCTGGCAGGCGCTGGCAGAACGGGCCATTACTTACGCCCCAGTTGGGCCGGGCCTGCCCCGCTGCCCGGGGATTTTGTCTCTCTCCAGGCTGTGGTGTAATAAGGGAGGTAATTAAGTGTAAAAGACAGGGGGAGGGAGGGCTGGGAGAGGGGGAATAGGAACCCGGCTCCTTTCAGAGGCAGGGGACTGAGATAATGTATGTTAATAACCTGCAATCAGCCCTGCCGAGCTGTGCTGATATTGCTGACTGCAGCGCCTGGCCCCCCCCCCAAACCTGCCCCCGCCGGGCTGGGGAGGGAGGGGAGCTCCAGAAGAAAGGCTCAGCCTTTCTCCTCGGCTGCGGCCGGGTTTGTGCCTTCCTGAGCAGCTGTATGGAAATAATTCCCATCGGAGCCGATTGTTTCCTTGGCGAGAGGGAGGGGATCGGGGGGGGGGGGGGGGGTGTGCGGGGTGTGTGTCCGGTGGGTGAGGGTCCCAAGGGCAGGAGCATCCTTGTGGGGTGCAGCGGGAGAGGGTCCCTGTTTCAGCTCCCAGTCTCCCTGCAAAGGCCGTGGGATGCATCCTGCTCCTGGGATGAGACGAATCACCCCACGGTGCCTCCCCGAAGGCCACATCCCTCTTGTCCTGACACTGAGCATCCCCCATGGGGCTGGACCCTTGGTGCTGTGGGGTCAGGCAGGAGGTGCCGTGGGGCAGAGCCCGCTGCCCTCGCTCCTGCCTCTCGCTGGCGCAGGGGGCTGCTGGCCATTAGTGATTCCAACCGCGTCGCTCCCGGAGGCGGCCGGGCCGCAGCCGGAGCCCCGGAGTGGCTTTGAGGCAGAGGCTGGGTCTGGCGCTGCCGCCAGCTCCGGAGCAGATTGCCAGACAAAGGGCCGGGGACAAAGGCCCGGCTGCCTCGTGCCCCGGGGAGGGGGCGCAGGCGCGTGTGGGGCACGGGGGCTGTCCCGGTGTGCGGCTGCTGCTGCCCCCGGTCACCAGCGCCTGCCATGCCCCATCCCAGTTGGGTACCGGTGGTCCTGTGCCACCCCCTGACTGTCACTGGGCCCAGGGATGTGCTGTAGCCCCAGTGCTGCCCATCTCGGGGTGCAGCAGGGCTCAGGTGGGGTACAGAGGGGCACAGGGCTATGGGGAGGGAACAGAAAGCATGGACGGGGACACTGTGCCCTGTGGAAGGTGGCAAATGTCAGGCAGGTTCCCCCAGTTCCCTGTGCCTCAGTTTCCCCCCGCTGGTGGGGCCCTTGTGAAAGCCCCATGGTCTGTGTCCCCCCCCCTTCCGTTCCCCATGTCCAGGGCAGGGCAGGGCAGGCTCCGGCAGGGCTCCGGCACAGCCCTGCTCAAGCCAGCTTTGTCCCTGCTCCCTGCAGCTGGCTGTAAACCCACTGACAGCCTCTGCGTGGCACAGGGCTGGGAATGCCGCTGGGGCCATGGGTGCAGCTGGGGACAGGGGGGTTTGGGGCACGATGTCAAATGATGCCAGACCCCCCAGGGGATGTGGCCCAGGGGGGCAGCGGCGTGGGGGGGGGGCAGAGGCAGCGGGGAGCAGAGGGCTGAGCAAACACCTTCTATTGCTTTGAACACAACAGGGACGCCCGGTGCTCGGAGCCACGGAGCTGCCCCAGCCCATGGGCACGGTGGGGACGCGCCCGCAGCCATCCCGGTGCCAGCGCTGCCTCCCGGCCCTCGCTGGCTTTGGGTGCACAGTGACAAGAGGGGGTGTCTGGGGGTGCTCAGGCCGGGCACTGCAGGCTGCAGTAGTCGGCCGATGTGAACAAGTTGTAGACGTTGACGAGGGGGAACATGAGCAGGGCCCCGAGGAGGGAGCCCAACTGCTCCATCGCCCCGTACCACACCAGCTCGTTGCGGCTGCAGCTGCGCAGGATCACCCCGGCCATCGCCTTCACGTAGGAGAGCGTCCCGGTGAAGAGCACCCAGGAGAGGACCTGAAGGGGAGAGCGGTCAGCAGGGCTCATGTGGGGTGCCCAGGGTGGGGATAGGGGACGTTGTGGTGAGGACAGAGCTTGGGGTGGCCCCAGAGACCTCACCGGGTGAAGGGGACCCAAGTGACTTACAATGGTGACATCTCCCCACTGGGACTGCTGGAGGAGTGGGCAGGGACTCATCACCGCGATGGCCATGTTGTAGGCACCAAAGCCTGTCCCCAGCATGGTGAGGGTGCCCAGCAGGGCCAGGGACCTGCAAGGGACATGTGGGTGACACTGGGGTGAGGGGCACAGACCCACGGCACAGGCTTCATCCTCCTTCCCTGGGGTGTCTCTGCTGCCAGGGCACAGGAACCCCACAGCCCCTCTCCCATCCAATGCCTCCTTCTTCCCCCATTGCAAAGCAGAGTCTGTTTTGGAGGCAGAAACCACCGGGGTGCACCCCACCGTGGCCCCCCAGCACCCTGATACTCACCTGCCGGGCAGGAGCATGGCCACGATGCAGGCCAGAGGGTTGGCCATGGAGCTGAGCGTGGTGGCGAGGTGGTAGGCGGTGTTGCCATAGGGCAAGCAGGAGTAGGACTGCACGGACGGCAGGACCCCGTTGGTCAGAGCGCTCACCCAAGCGACGAGGAGGTAGATGAAGGTGAGCTTGGCCAGGGAGTAGACCTGCTCCGGCATGATGCTCGTCAGCCCCTTGGCATCCTTTGGGCGTGGGCAGCCCCCGCTCAGCCGGGGGCCTCCTTCCTCACTGGGGGTCTGGTCGATTGAGCTCAGCATGATATTGCTGGGAAAGAGCTGCTGCTGGGAGAGCTCCCACTCCTTGGGCTGCCTGTTGAGGAAGAAGAAGGCCACCAAGCAGGCCAGCATCATCACCGTCATGAGGAGAAAGAAGACGAGGGTGGAGAAGTTGGCTGGGAGGTAGTGGGTCTCTATGTGGGAGATGATGCTTTCCACGGTCTCGTTGCCGATGGTGACGTTGACCAAGCGGGTGGTGTTGTCACAGGTGGAGATGCCAGAGCCCTGGGCCAGGGCAATGAGAGCAGGGATCAGCCCGCTGAGCCCTTCACCTATGAAGAAGGTGTTGAGGAACTGGGGCTGCAGCTGCATCATGAAGGGCAGGAAGGTGACGGAGGAAGTGCAGTCCACCAGGGCCAGGAAGAAGGTGAGGAGCAGGAAGGCGGTGCTGTGGGGTGCCCCGGCGATGGAGGATGTGTAGTTCCAGAGGAAGGCTAACAGTAAACAGGCCAGGACACCCACAGACACCACCACGTAGATTACAGCCTCCTCCTTCAGCAAGCCGGGCCGAAAGCGGTGCATGAGGGTGATGAAGAGCGGCCCCACGTTGGCCATCTGGATGATGATGGTGATGTATGATGGCAGATCCCACTGCTCCGGCAGCACCGTCACCAGCAGCGGCAGCTCGACCCACAGCCCGTTGATGGCCACCCAGGAGCCCATGCCGAAGGTGCAGGCGAGGAAATGGGTGAGCAGCGCCATGCTCAGGGATGGGTGCTCGGGGACGCCGCCGCTGTGCTGCGGGGAGAGGTTTGCATCAGTGGTGGGGTGAGACCTGACCCCCCCGGACCCCAACCCACGGCCCTGCCTGCCTCCCCCCTCTGCGGGCAGCAGGCAGAGCGGCTGCTCCCCATCACCCCACGGCGGCGCGGGACTCACGGAGCACCACGGTCACCCCACGGCCCATTCCCAACCCATGGGATCCCCCTGCTCCGCACCGCGACGGCGCTGGGTCCCATCCCGGACAGGCACAGAGCAGGGACCCTGCGGCCATGGGGCCCGTCCCGGGTCAGAGCACGGCGTGGCACGGGGTGGCGGCGGCTCTCACCTGGGCGCCGGGAGGCCTGGGCAGCGGCAGCGCCGGGAGCAGGGGCCTCGAACGCGGCGCACCCAGGGCACCCGCAACGCCCGTCTCCTCCCCGCCGCGTCCCACGGGATCCGGGCGGGCTCCTGCGCCTGCGGCCAGGAGAGCTCTCCCGGCAGCCCCACCTGCGAACCGGGCCCGGCTCCTGCCTGCGCGCTGAGTCAGCAGCGAGCCGGCCGCATCCCCTGCCCCGGGCTCGCAGCCCGCTCCTGCCAGCACTGACCCCCACGGCCCCGCGGCCCCGCGGGTGAAGCTCGTGTCTGCCCGGACCCAGCCGCCCATGGCCCCGGCCCTGCGGCGGGGCAGCGGGCACGGCGGGACGGAGCGGGAGCCAGCGCGGAAGCGGGCTCCTGGTGTGACCGGTCCTGCAGCAATGTCATGGCACGGAACTCACTGTGCCTGGGGGAACCGGCAGCAGCCGCGGGCGGGAGCGGGTCCCGGCGGCCGTGACGTGAGGCCAACGTCACCGCCTCCGGATGCTGACCGGGGGACCGGCGGGCCCCGCGCTGCCGCCGCCTCGGCTCCGGGGCTGGTCCTCGCCCCGGTCCCGGCCGGTGGAGACCCCGCGCTGGGGGTGCCCGTGTCCTCCTCGGGCGCGGTTCAGGGCTCCTGCCCTTGACGGGGGGGGTCCCAGCAGGTCGCAGGGAAGCACGTGAGCCGCGGGCTTGGTCGGCTGCCAGCACAGGGTGTGATGGGATAAAAGCCATCAGAAAGCACAAGGAAACGCGCCGTAGTTCCTGGAGGGACGGGAGGGGGGGGGCGGGCCCTGCTCCCCAGGGGATCCTCATGGGCAGAGGGACCAGCTCCCGTCCCAGCCATACCCCCCCCTGCCATAGGACAGGGGCTGGCTGGTGTCAGCCTGGGCATGGGGCACGGCCAGAGGGGACGGGGGATCAGGACCCCCCTGCTCCTGCCTCTCTTCCCAGTGGGTTCCTGGTTTCCAGCAGCTCTTCCCGCACAGCCCAACCCCAGGCGCTGGAGCCTTGAGCTCCGAACTCCGTCCCGGTGGCCAAAGTCCAGCTGCGGCACCTCCAGCTCCTGCCAGCCCGGGGACACCCCATCCCCTGCCCGGCACCACCGCTGCCCTCCCTCCGCACGTGCCGCCGGTGCCCGGGGCAGCGCCATGGCCACGGGCTCTCACCGCAGCGTGGCCGCTGGCCCGGTGCCCCCGGCTTGGCCCGGTGCCGGTGGCTATTCTTGGCAGTGTCCTGGGCTTTGCGCATGTCCCCGGCTGAACCGCATCCCACCTATTTCAGGCTGCTGCTCGCAGCTGCCAATGTCACTTGGTGCCTGTGCCCCCCCCTCCCGGGGGTCTCTGCAGGGGCAGCGGCTGCCATAGGGCCCTCGGGGACCCCACAGCATGGCTATGCTCCCACCTCGGGTGCACCCAAGCACATGGCAGCGGGGCGGCACCAGGCGGGCAGTAAAGCCGTGAGCCTCGGATAAGCCGCTTGCAGCAGCTGAGAGGTGACGGGTGAGGCCAGGTCAGCCCCAGCAGCACAATTCCCCCCCCATCGCAGCACCCCGGGGTGCCTCACTGCGGCTCTTCCCACAGCACCCACCGGGTGTCGCTGGGACAGCGGCTGCAGAGCCTGGGGCTCCCTTCCCCGGTGCCTTGCCTGTCCCTGTCCCTGTGCCTCCCTGCGCAGCCGGCCCTGCTCTGCTCCTGGCTCCAGCCCTGCCCCAGCTGTGTGGTGCAGCACGGACATGTAGGGACAGGCCAAGGGGAATGGCTTGAACCTGCCAGAGGGGAGACTGAGATGAGCTCTCAGGCAGAAGCTCTTCCCTGTGAGGGTGCTGAGGCGCTGGCACAGGGTGCCCAGAGAAGCTGTGGCTGCCCCATCCCTGGCAGTGTTCAAGGGCAGGTTGGACACAGGGGCTTGGAGCAAGCTGCTCCAGTGGAAGGGGTCCCTGCCCGTGGCAGGGGTTGGAGCTGGAGGAGCTTTAAGGTCCCTTCCTACCCGAACAATTCCTTCACTGCTGCCCACACAGGCCCGTGTCCTGCCAGCGCCAGGACAGCAGATCCATGTGTAACAGTGACTCCAAATGTCTCCCGCTTCCTTCTTTTTCTCCAGCTTTTACTGCTGAGCAGGAGGGCCCTTAGCCTGGGGTACCCCTTGCTCACTGAGGTCTCCTGTCCCATCCCCACCTCCCCCCTCAGTTTCCTCTGCACCCCCAGTCTCCTCACTGGTTGGGCACTGTGAGAAGCAGACAAGACCCTGATGCTGTGCAAGAGCTGCTCAATGATAACCAAAACACCCCAAAGTTATCTGCTCTGTTTGCAGCAAGAATCCAAACCAGCCACATACCAGCTCCTATGGAGAAAAACAAGTCTATCCCAGCACAATCCAGTGCTGGGGGCACTTGGAAGAGGGGGAGCAGGTCCAAGATGCTAGAAGGAACCAGGCGCAAGGGCTTGGGCTGGTCTGGGTTGGGGACAGGAGGGGACGGTGTTTTATTGGTGTTTAATGTGGCAGCACAAAGGAGACCCTTGCGAGGGCAGCCCGAGGGGCTCTGGGTGCGGGACCCCCACGCTGCTGCTTCACGCTCCTCACCCCGATCCACCCAACACATGCTGCCCCTTCCCATGCTGCAGCTGAGCCCCCGGCCCTCTGCACCCCGGCAGATGTGAGCCAAGGCCATGGAGGCAGATGGCAGCATTCGGGAGCCGAACAATCCCCGGCCACTGGACTCTGCTGGGCTCTGGTGACCGGATCACTGGGAAGCCCCCTCCCCATCACCGGTGAGGATGGGCATAGGAAATGTTGGGATCAGCGGGGTCCATCCTCAGGCTCAGCCCCAGCAAGAACCGTCCCCGAGTAGCTGCTTGACTGAGAGCAGTGGGGATGCTCTTTCAGGGCAGGGGAATGCGGCTGCTCCATTGCAGGGGAACAGGGGGTCCCCCCTCGCCCAAGGGACCACCGGCTACCCCAGGCACATGTGTGTGACCCCCAGAGCCGGGTGCAGGGAGCCGCTGCCAGGTCGCAGGCGCTGGCAGCCCCCCTCCCGGTGCCATTTGCATCCCATTTCCATGTGAAAGGAGCAGGTCAAGTTGAAAGTTGAATGGGGGGGGGGGTGCGGGGAAGGGGCCGCTGCTGGAGGTGAGACCCCGACAAAAGGGCCGGCTCCCCAGGGCCCGGCGCTCGCCCGGCCGCGGGCTGCGGTCCCGGCCCCGCCGGCAGCCGCCATCTGCATGTCCGTGCCGCAGCCACCGCGCAGACAAAGGCCCCGTGCCCGGCCTGTCCCCATCTGTCACCTCCCGGCTCCGGGCGCCGAGCTGCTGCCTGCGGAGACGCGTGGGGAGAGCGGGGTGCGGGCGGCATCCTTCCCTCGGCCCCTTGCGAGCGGAGCAAGGCGGTGCTGGACCCAGCCAGAGCATCCCCATTGAGTACCCACATCACAGATCCCAGCCTGGGTCGGGTTGGAAGGGACCTTAAAGCTCCTCCAGCCCCAACCCCTGCACGGGCAGGGACCCCTTCCACTGGAGCAGCTTGCTCCAAGCCCCTGTGTCCAACCTGGCCTTGAGCACTGCCAGGGATGGGGCAGCCACAGCTTCTCTGGGCACCCTGTGCCAGCGCCTCAGCACCCTCACAGGGAAGAGCTTCTGCCTTATCTCCAACCTAGATCTCCCTTGTTCCAATTTAAACCCATCACCCCTTATCCTGTTGCTACAGTCCCTGATGAAGGTGCTCCTGCCTCACAACTGGGGAAACTGAGGCAGGAGCAGGCGGTGCCTTGCCCTCGATCACGGCACATGGCATAGGGGACATTTCCCTGCTACAAAGCCAGGCACAGCCCCGGTGTGCCAAGGGGATGCAAGGAACCATCGGGAATTAGCACTCACCAAGAAGAGGTGTTGGGGGGCTTCCTGGCTCTGCAGTGTCTGTGCCTGGGGCTGCCGCGAGCCCTGGCACCCGCAGCTGCCTCCACCCAGCACTTCCAGCAAGGATTTGGCCTCTGAGTGTGTTTTGTGCTCCTTGAAGGCTGTGTTTAGCTCCTGGAAATCCTGGAAGTGACACGTGGGAAGCTCAGCCCCGAGCGCCCGTGGGAGGTGAGAGCGAAGCCAGCGCCAGCACCCGCCTGTCCCTCTGCCCCCAGACACAGCAGCACAGAACCCCAGCCTGGGTCGGGTTGAAGGGACCTTAAAGCTCCTCCAGCTCCAAGCCCTGCCATGGGCAGGGACCTCTTCCACTGGAGCAGCTTGCTCCAGGCCCTGTCCAACCGGGCCAGGTGGTGTCAGAGGTGCTGGGGAGCGCTCCCACCGCTGGCTGCCTTCCCAAAACCCGTCCCGGGATGCTCCCAGTGAGGGTGAGGCTCCAACGCCCCGCTCCAGGAGCACCCGACGTGCCCGGGCAGCTTCCTGCACCCGCTGCTGCACCCTGTGCAGGCTCAGTGCCCACGGTGGGGCTCAGCCCATCCGGGCAGGCTCTGCGCAGTGTTTTTCCAGCCAGGATCATGGTGTGGATCCGCCTTTGCTGTTGGCCAGGCACAGGGCAGCCCTGTGGCACCCAGACACTGTTTTCCATGTGTTGCCCTCAGCTCTTTGCTCTCCGCCTGCTCCTTGTCTTGCTTCCAAGCGCAGTTGGAAAAGCACACGGCTCCATCCGCTCCTCGCCGCGGGAGATGCCTGTACCATGGCACCCGGGGCTGCCCCAGGGCTGGGTTTAGGCCAGCAGGGCTTTGTGACCGCAGGCTTGGTGACCCCGCTCCGGTCCATCAGCTCCATTCCCACTCTCCGGGTTGTTTTCCTGCGGTTGGGAGTTCATTACAGAGGGCTGCTGCTGGGTTCGTGCGGGAACAAGGCAAGTTTTCCATGTCAGAGCAGGCCCTGCTGGCTGGCCGTGCCGGCGGGGAGCCAGGCTGGGAACCTTCCCATCTCCCTGGGTCCGTGCCAGGGCACCGGGACCCTGTGCCCACAGCAGGCAGGGGGCATCCAGAGGTGATCTGGCTTTGGCAGTGGGAGCACCTCAGGCCGTGCATCCCCATCCAGCACCGCGGCTGCACCAGCACCACGCCGGGACGGCACCGTGTCCCATCACGCTGCGTGACGCAGCCTGGCATGGAGGATGCCCCACGGTTTTAATCCCATGTGAGCTCGTCCTCGCCCAGCACTGACTCAGCAGGAGCAGCCGCGGTGCAGAGCAGCTCCCGGGGGAGAAGGGGAGGACGCGGCTGGGGACCAGGACGCACCCGACAGCCCGGACGAGCGCAGGGAGCAGCACTGTGGCGGCTGAGCCGTGCCGAGCCGGCTCCCACATCGCAGGGCCCATCCAGGTGGGTGCTGGAGGTGGTGCCGGTCCTGTGCCAGCGGGATCGCCCGGTGAGGGGGGGCACAAGCGCACATCTCCCGGCATGGCTCCCTGGAAGCACTGCCTGGGTTATTCCGTGTGCCGAGTGAGCCTGGTTGTGCTGCCCGCACCAGGAGGGGTTGGAGCTGGGGCCATGGCTGGGCATCACCCAGTGGAAGTGGGGTTCTGAGCCATGGCGCTTGGATCCCCATGCTCTGGCAGGGCTGGGGGCATGGGACGATGTGGCTGTGTTTTGGGGTGTCTGGGGGGTGCCTTGGCTCAGCCCGGCTCGGTTCATCCCGGCCGTGCCAGGGCAGGAGGCTCAGCACCGCAGGAATGCGGAGCAGCAGGTTGGGCCCGGCCCTGCTGGCCAAACAGGGAGGGGACCCCCCGCTGCCCGCATGGCTGTGCTGGGGACCCTGTGCCCTCATCCCGGTGCCACAAGAGCCATCCCATGGCTCACCCTGGGGCTGAGCCTCCGGCATCAACCCGAGCCCCACCGCAGCGTGGAGCCGTGTCCCCGCTTTGCCTGCCGGGGTGGGGTGGGGGGAACGGACGTTTGCACCTTCCGCAAGCTGAGGACCTGTGCATGGTCCCCATCGGGGCGCAGATGCCGATGCCGCGGTGCTGTGGGTGCCGGTGATGCTGGGATGGGCCCTGGGTGGCACCCAGGAAGTTGTTGTGACGGCGACGGTGACGGCAGCCACCGGGGCCACCGCAGGAGGGACTGCGGCCACGGCACCGCTGCACCCGGTGAGTGCCGGGGCTGTCATAGCAGGGGGTCACCTGTGCCCGGAGCTGGGGGGCTCAAAGCAGCTCGGGAATGGGGGGGGGGGGAGGGCAAGATCCAACCCCACGCGCCCCCCCGCCGCTGCCTGAGCCCCTCCGTGTGTTGGGACCCCTCCAGCTCTGCCCACCCTTGGTCAGGGGCACTGGGAGCAGCTGGGAAGGGGCTGCGGTGGGGTTCAGGGCTGGTTTGGACCCTCCCCACGCCGCTATGGGCAGGCCGGGGCTTGGTGCGACCGCTGGGGCGGGCGGTTGTGATTGTTGGGGTTGGCAGGGGCCCAGGGACGTGGGGTGCGCGGGGCCCCAGCGCCGCTCCCAGCACACCTCGCTGGGAGGTGGAAAACCCCGGTGGTGCTTTCCAATGGGATCCAAGGTGGGAGCAGGGAGCTGGGGAATGGAGAGCAGGGGGAGCAGGGCCCCAGAGCCCCCCAGCCTGGCAGGGTGGTGGGTGAGAGGGGTGGGTGATGCACCCCCGGACATGGGGGACGCTCCCCTGGCAGTAGGCGATGCTCCCCTGGGCATGAGCATCGCCCCCCTTGATGTGAGTGTTGCACCCCTTGATGCAGGTGGTGCACCCTTGGGCATTAGCAAGGCACCCCTGGGAGCAGCTGGTGCACCCCTGGGTGCAAGCAATGCAGCCTTTGATGCGGGTGATGCACCCCCGGGCATGGGAGATGCACCCCGTGGTGCAGGTGATGCACCCTCGGGCACAGGCGATGCAGGCAGAGCATCACTGAGGGGTGCAGGACCAAACCACCCATCTCCACCCCGGCCTCGCTCCCCGGGGTGCCCCTTGCCGTGGCTGGGGCTCCCTCCCCGCCATCCCCATTGGTCCGGGTGCGGTTTGAAGCAGGCCGGCTGCGCCGATTGGCCATGCACCGTGCCGGGGAGGCCGCGGTGGCGATGGAGGCGTGGTTCCTGCCTTCAAATAGCAGCCCGGCGCTGCCGGCGCAGACAGTGCGGCACCGCACACAGCCCGGGCAGCCTTTGTCTGCGGTGGGGCCGGGCAGGGACAGCGGCACCGCGCTCACTCCAGGCCCTCTTTGCAGCTGCCGGCACGTGAGCCCATCGCTGCGGTTGCCGGGCACCCACCCGGTGCCGCGGTGCCAGCGCCGAGGATGCCCGTCGAGGCGCTGCAGGCCGGCGACGCCATGAAGGGGATGCCGGTGCAGGTGACGGCTCCCTTCACCTCGACCATGCCCATCCGCATCCTCCGCAAGGGCCCGGCTTATTTCCGCCGTGGCACCGAGCCGGGCGCCGGGAAGCCGAGCGCGGTGGAGAGGCTGGAGGCCGACAAGGCCAAGTACGTGAAGAGCCAGCGCGTCGCCAGCACCAGGCAGGAGCCGGTGAAGCCACCGCTGCTCAAGCAGCCCCTCTTCACAGCGGGGGTGCGCCGGGCGGTGCTCACCCCCAGCCGCAGGGCACCGCCGGGACCGCGTCGCGCCGAACCCGCGGGCACCAAGACCTGCCTCGACCTGGAGATCCTCAACAACCTCATCAACCTCTGCGACAGCCCCTTCCCCAAGGCGGAGAACCCGCTGGGCAGGGACTGCAAGTGGAGGGCGGAGGTGCCGGCGCCGCGGTGCAGCGGGGCGGACGGTGCTGGTGCTGCCAAACCACCGGAGAGTCCCATTGCCGCCAAGCCCCCCGGCAGCGTGGCCGTGAGGAGGGTGGACGTGCGTCCCTGCGGGGCTCCACGGGGGCCAGTGACACCGGTGACACCGATGACACCGGTGACTCCGGTGACACCGATGACACCAATGACACCAGTGACACCGGTGACACCGGTACCCGCATCCCCCATCCCCGGCGCGCTGCCGGCAGCCCCGGCACGGAGCTCGCCCGCCCGCCCCGAGAGCGCGCGCCGGCAGCCGGTGCTGCACCGCTCCAAGTCGGACCTGAGCGACCGGCTGTCGCGTGCCACCGCCGACCTGGAGCGCTTCTTCAACTACTGCGGCCTGGACCCCGAGGAGCTGCAGGACACGGGCGCCGAGCGCTTCGCCCGCGCCAGCTCCGACATCGTCTCCCTCAAGTTCCACAGCGTGAGCACGGCCAGCTCGGAGGGCGGCCGCTCGCCGCCCAGCGCCGCCACGCCGGAGGGACGCCCGCCCGAGCGCGTCCCTTACGGCATCTCCGTCATCGAGCGCAACGCCCGCGTCATCAAGTGGCTGTACGGGCTGCGCCAGGCCAGGGAGCACCAGCAGGTCTCCAACGTGTAGCGGTGCCGCGGCCACGGAGGGCACCGGGGTGGGCTGCTCATAGAAGGCAATGATGGACACGGAGGAGCGGGGACCTCTCGGCGGGGATGGGACCCTTCAGACCCGTCGTTGCTTTCCTGGTGCGGTGGCCACGCGTCCATCCCACTGGCTCCATCAGATCCCCGTGCCAGCACCGGAGAGCCAGGTCACTGTGACCCCATGGCAGGGCAAAGGACACCCGTGTCCATGGGTGCGCGGCGGGTCCCCAACACCTTCCCATTGCCTATTTGCATGGGAGCCCATGTGTGGTCACCCTGCCTGCCCTGCTCCTCGCCAGCACCCATGGCTGGGGTGTAAGCGGCTGTTTCTGCCCTGCACAGAGCTCCCTGAGGGGGCCGTGCTGACTGGGGTGGGGGCCCCCCATTTTAAAGATCTGGGTGAAGCCGGATGCTTTGTGGGGTGGGGGCAAATGTGAACCCCCCACTTTAACCTCCCAGGGCTCTGTGTGTGTGTGTGAGTGTCCGTGAGTGCTCGTGTCCCCTCCCAGGACACATCTTCTATTTATGACGATGATGTTGTTGGTCTCTTCCTCATTTCCACTGGTTTTCCTCATGTTTGACCTGTAAAGAGCAACGACAACAGCAATGCAGATGGTTTTATTAAATCTCTGTGCTTTGGATGCTCTGTGCGGTGCTGTCTCTCGAGGAGGTGAGGTCAGGATGGGGCAGGGACCCTCAGGGTGCCCACCCTGGTGCCGGGCGCCTACAGGAGCACTGGTGCCGTGCCGTAGCGTGCCAGCGCGGGGCCCGGCGGGCACGGCACGGCGGCGGTTGGTTCCGACAGGCCCCGGCAGAGCCCTTCCCGCGGGATTCCCCTCTGTGCCACAGCCAGCACCGTGCCGACCGTGCAGCTTCCCGTGGGGCTTGGCTGGGCCCCGGCTGCTCGGGGATGCTGAGATGGGGCGGCGATAGCCGGGGCCTCCGAAGTGGGCTGAGGATGAAAGTGAGTGCAGGGAGAGCTTTGAAGATGAAAAGCACCCGGGTGTTACCCCCGGGGTGCCCCCCGCAGCCTCCCAGCACTGGGGGTGCTGCCTGCGCCTGGGAGGTCCCCCCCATGCAAGTGGGAGGCTGCAGGGGAAGGGGCACCAAGGAACCTGCAGCCCCGAGGACCCTGCCTGGAGCCCGGCCCTGCCACTGCCTCCCTGCAGCTCCGGCAGCAGTGTTTGGGGCCATGGCTCCAAGGGCTGGGAGCCAGCGTGTGGGGCACGGGTCCTGCTCGGTGGCAGCAGTGGTGAGAGGCCAGGGGCAAGGTCCGACCTCAGGGCTGCAGGTTTCGTGTCTGAAGGGTGCATGGATGCACTTAAATGTGTCCAACATCCACGCACACGCCTGCATGCCCCATGACAGGGACACTTGGGGTCCCCAAAAGAGCCCTCGTGGGGATGAAGTGCTTCCCCCTCCATCCTGGCTCCTGCACTGGGAGCGTTTGCCCAAAGCCACTGACGAGGGTGCAGGATCCATCCAGCTCCTGCTGGGATGCAGGCAGGTCCGGCTGCCCGGGATATGGCGGTGATGGGCAGGATGCGGCATGCAGATTGTGGTGGGCAGCACGTGGTGGGCAGGATGTGGTGCTGGCACCCGGCCCATGAGTCAGGCTGACAAATCGGGCTGGGGAGGAGGCACACACTTAAGGGATCCTTAATGATGGCACGTGGGGCACGGGAGCTGGAACCCTCAGGGTGATGGGGACCGCAGGCACGTGCTCAGGGCCAGGGTTCCCCCTCAGGAAAGCTCATTGGGAAGCGGCTCCCGGCTGCGCTGCCGGATTCCTCGGCTCGGCGTGGCCCAGAGCTTGGTCTAAATTTGATGCTGCTGCCAAGGACGTGGGACAGGGGGTGGTGGTGGTGGTGGTGTCCCTCCAGCCCCTCGGCTTGGCTGCAGCATTCCCAGCCCCTGCGTGTCCATGCAGAGCCTGTGTGCTGCTGCGTGTGTGTGACCCAGTGCACGCATGGCCGTGGGCATGCACGTTTGGGTGCCCCCGTGCCTGCGTGCACGCACAGCACGAGCCGTGTTCCCAAGGCTTCTGACCCCGCACCCGTGGGACTGCAGCGTGAATCCCTGGCACGGGCGCGTTGAGGCCGTGTGTGTCTCCCTGGGGATGCCCCCCTTGCCCCGTGCTGGGACAGCAGGACGGCCCCAGCGCTCCCTATCACTTTCCATGGCAGCTGCCTCTCAGTGGCTCCGGTTTCCGTGGGGGCCACAGCTGATCCCGTCTGTTATTCCTATGGAGCAGGGATGGCCGGGCCGGGGTCTCCATCGCGCTCACCCCTCCACGCCGGGCTCTCCCATGTGCAGCACCCCAGGGTAGGGACCTCCCCCCTCCCTCCGTTTCCCATCCTGTCATTTATCCCGCCCTGATGAGCACCTTCGGGAAGCGCCAGCCACGCCACGTGCTTTAATCACAGTTAATTAGCGAGTGCCGAGGGCAGCGTGAACGGAGCCTCCCCCCCCCCCCCCCCCCACTGCCGGTGGCACCGGTGCCAGCACCCTGCCAGCAGGACACTGCGTCCCCATGGCCCTCACCCCGCTGGTGGTACCCGGCCCTGCTCCCCGGGGTGGGGGAAATGGGGTTTGGTGGCAGCAAACTCAGCTCTGTGAGGTCTCAGCTGTCACCCAGCCAGCAAGGGGTGAAAGGGACCTGGTTTGGGGGTTGTCACCACTGCCACCAATTCCCCAGGGCTTGGGTACCAGTGGGAAAGGTGACCTGGGGATGCAGTGGGGCGCCCAAGGGTGACGATGCTGCAGGGAGCCACAATTGGCTTGGGGGGAGGGAGATCTAGTGGCAATGGGGCTGAAGGGAATGAGGACAACGGGGGGACAGGGACTGGGTGTCACCGAGAGCTGTCCTACTGCGTGCTCACCCATGCACTGAGCTGCACAGGCCTTAGGGGTCCCCTGAGGTTGCTGGGGTTCCTCTGTCCTGCCCTGCTGCTGAACAGGAGGAACGGTTCCCTGCAGGGCTCTCCCCCAGAGCCCCCTCCAGACACTTGGAAAATAAATATCTCTTAGTACAAAAATAAAAGTGGCTCCAGCCCGACCTCCACCAGCTCCCGGGGCCGCTCCTGGGGCCCTGGTGCTGCCGTATGGAGACTGGGATGCTCCGTACCCCACTGCTCCGGCTGCTCCCCAAGGTGCCCTCAGCCCGGTTTTGCCATCTCAAGGCATCTGCGGTGAGGGGGTCTCGCTGCCTGCATCCCCATCTCCTGCCATCCCTGCCCCAGCTCAGACCCCCTGCAAGACCTCCCCAGGACCCTTCCCATCCGCTACCCACTGCGCAGCCCCATCCCAAACCACAACCCCGCAACCCCATCCCAGGGCTCTGCCAGCCCCTGCCAACACAAGCCTCCATCATGAGGATCCTCATCCCCTCCAGCTCCCCTGATCCCGTGGGGATAAAGGAGCAGCGGGAGCTTTGCAATGCCCAAAGACAGAAAAGGCAAAGCCCTGGCGTGCCTTGGAGCCTGGCTGCATGTGCAGGGGGTCCTGGTGGGCCTTGGACCCCCATCCTGGGGCAAAAACAGGAGTCCCAAGAGCACGAGAAGAGAAGGGAGGTGGGATCTGATGGTTCCTCATGAACCACCCCTTGTCCCGGTGCCCCTGCTCCAGGCTGAGGCGCTAGAAGCCGGCAGGTCGGATGAGCATGCGGGTGCCCTTCAGGGAGTAGCTGGGCCCCTGGAAGTGGTGCCAGCGGATGCCGTTGAGCTTGCGGATGTTGTGCCGCGCTGGGTAGTAGATGCCGTTCAGGTTGGAGAGCCCACAAGCATCGAACCACCAGCCTGCGAGGAGGGAGCAGGTGTGGGGGGGGGTGGCATCCCATGGGGAGCACCCATAGTTGCTGCACGGGGGTGTTCCCCCCACCTCCGCTCACCTCCCGACAGCATCTGGGCGCACTTGCAGAGGCAGTTGTCGTTGTCGGCGTCGCGGGTGCTGAAGCGGGTGCCCTGCAGTGCCAACCCGCTCTGCTGCCCCGCGGTGCCGCTGTAGTCCTGCAGTGACAGCCTGCGGCACGGGTGGGCATGGGCCATCAGTGCTGGACATCGTGGGGGCCACAGAGAGCCCCTCAGCCCTGATCCGGGGGGTTGAGGGACGTGGGATGCCACCAGCAGAGGCACAGAGGGATGCAGGCAGAGATCCTGCTTGGCCTGGAGCTGATGGTTTGGGGTCCCCGAGGGTGGGGGTCCTGCTATGCTTGGGATTAGGACCATAGACACAGACTGGTTTGGGTTGGAAGGGGCCTTAAAGCTCCTCCAGCTCCATGCAGGGACCCCTTCCACTGGAGCAGCTTGCTCCAAGCCCCTGTGTCCAACCTGGCCTTGAGCACTGCCAGGGATGGGGCAGCCACAGCTTCTCTGGGCACCCTGTGCCAGCGCCTCAGCACCCTCACAGGGAAGAGCTTCTGCCTGAGAGCTCAGCTCAACCTAACAGGAGCCTGGGGAGAGCAGTAGGGGCAGCAGAGCAGAACCCCCAGCCCCGGGGGACGAGTTCTGCTGAGCCATAACCCCCCCCCCCCTTCCCCCAGGACACCCCAGTGAAGCCCTGTGGGATCCTGCACCCCCGGGGCACCGCAGCCACCTCGCCCATGGCCGCTGCGGGGCAGCAGGGGACGGGGGGGGCTGGAGCTGCCTCTCTCCTACCTGTAGAGCTGCCGCTCGCTCCCCAGCTGGAATTTCCCGTAGTGGGCATAGACCTGGCCGCCCTCCCAGTCCCGCAGCTCCACGCGCAGGGCATAGGGGCCCTGGCTCGTCAGGAGGTGCACGGCCTCGTTACCCAGCCAGTACTCGCCTGCAGCATCCCCAAACCCCTGCGGGAGCAGTGGGGAGGTGAGTGCGGGGTGTCCCCGGGTCTCCCCCGCTCCCAGGGCAGGCACAGACCTGTTTGTACTCCCTCCAGCCCCGCTGGAAGCTGAGGCTGCCGTTGGCACGGAGCTGGATGACGGTCCAGCCGCCGCGGTCTGTCTCCATGTCGCAGTATGCCTGCAGCGGGGAGAGCCGGGATGGGCTGCGGAGCGGGCAGCACCAGGCATGGGTG